GGGGATGAGGGACCCCTGGCACACCCACAGCTGTCTGGGGACCCCCAAAATCCACCCAGACCCCCCAAAAATCCACCCAGACCCCCCAAAAATCCACCCAGACCCCAAAAAAACCCACCCAGACCCCAAAAAACCCCAATGATTGGCACCTATGGGGATCCCCAAACCTCACTTGGGGGGGGTGACTCTTGAATTTGGGGGGGCTCAGGGACACCCCCCAAACACAGGGGACCCCCTGGCACACCCACAGCTGTCTGGGGACCCCCAAAATACACCCAGACCCCCCAAAAATCCACCCAGACCCCAAAAAAACCCCAATGATTGGCACCTATGGGGACCCCCAAACCTCTCCTGGGGGGGGGCACAGCCCGGTCTGGGGGGGCTCAGGGACACCCCCCAAACACAGGGGACCCCCTGGCACACCCACAGCTGTCTGGGGACCCCAAAATACACCCAGACCCCCAAAATCCACCCAGACCCCAAAAACCCCAAAGATTGGCACCTACGGGGACCCCGGGTTTGGGGGACCCCCAAACCCACCAAGAGGGGGGACTCCGAATTTGGGGGGGCCCAGGGACACCCCCCAAACACAGGACACCCCCTGGCACACCCACAGCTGTCTGGGGACCCCCAAAATCCACCCAGACCCCCCAAAAATCCACCCAGACCCCAAAAAATCCACCCAGACCCCCAAAAACCCCAATGATTGGCACCTATGGGGACCCCCAAAACCATCAATTAGGGGGACACAGCCCGGTCTGGGGGGGCCCAGGGACACCCCCCAAACACAGGGGACCCCCTGGCACACCCACAGCTGTCTGGGGACCCCCAAAATCCACCCAGACCCCCAAAAATCCACCCAGACCCCAAAAAACCCACCCTAACACCAAAAAAACCCAACGATTGGCACCTACGGGGACCCCCAAACCTCACTTGGGGAATCTGAATTTGGGGGGGCTCAGGGACACCCCTAGGGGATGAGGGACCCCCTGGCACACCCACACCTGTCTGGGGACCCCCAGAACACACCCAGACCCCCCAAAAATCCACCCAGACCCCAAAAATCCACCCAGACCCCAAAAACCCCAATGATTGGCACCTCACGGGACCCCAAACCTCACTTGGGGGTGCATCCTGAGTCTGGGGGCTCAGGGACACCCTAGGGCATGAGGGGACCCCTGGCACACCCACAGCTGTCTGGGGACCCCCAGAATCACACCCAGACCCCAAAAAAATCCACCCAGACCCCCCAAAAAAACCCACCCAGACCCCAAAACCTGGGGGGCTCCCCCCTCACCACCCATTCAGATTCCCCCCCTCAGGAACCCCAAAACCCCCCCAGACCCCAAAACCTCCCTGTACCTCAAGACTCCCCAAAGCCCCCCAGATCCCCCAAGCCCCCAGACCCCCCCAAAGCCCCCCAGGCCTCCCAAAATCCCCCCTTGCCCCCCCAATTCCTGTGATGCTCCTCCCCACCCATTCAGATCCCCGGGACCCCCCAGATCCCAAATTCCCCCAAATCCCAAATTCCCCCAGACCCCAAATTCCCCCCAAATCCCCAATCCCTCCAGGCTCCCCAAGACCCCCAGACCCCCAAAGCCCCTCAGGCCCCCAAAATCTCCCCACCCCCATTTCTGGGATGCTCCCCTCCCCACCCATTCAGATCCCCGAGGACCCCCCAGATCCCAAATTCTCCCATCCAAATCCCCAATCCTCCAGGCTCCCCAAAGCCCCCAGATCCCTCAAGTCCCCCCAGACCCCCAAAGCCCCAAAATCCCCCAAAGCCCCCCCATTTCCTGTGATGCTCCCCCTCCCCACCCATTCAGATCCCCGGGACCCCCAGATCTCAAATTCCCCCCAGACCCCAAATTCCCCCAGATCCCAAATTCCCCCAGACCCCCCAAGCTCCCCCAGATTCCCCCAAGCCCCCAAACCCCCGAGCCCCCAAAGCCCCCTAAGCCCCCCAGGCCCTCCCAAAATTCCCCCCTTGCCCCCCATTTCCTGCAATGCTCCCCCTCACCACCCATTCAGATCCCCCTTGGAACCCCCAACCCCGCCCCAGACCCCAAAACCCCTAGACCCCCAATCCCTCAGGCTCCCCTAAGCCCCCAAGCCCCCAGCCCCCCAAAGTCCCCCCATGCCCCCAGACCCCCAAAATCCCCTTACTCCCCATTTCCTGCGGTGCTCGGCCTTGGCCGCCCGTTCGGGCCCTTCCGCCGCCTCCTTGGCCGCCCGGAGGGACCCCACGCGCTGCTCCAGCTCCTGACGGATTCCTGCAGCCCCCAGCCGGGCCTGGGGGCACACACCCCAGAATTAACCCACAGACCCCCCAAATCACTCAGAGCCCCCCAGATCACCCAGAGACCCCCCAAATCACTCCCAGCCCGGAGGGACCCCACGCGCTGCTCCAGCTCCTTTTGGGATTCCTGCAGCACCCAGCCGGGCCTGGGGGGCACAGACCCTCAAAATTAATCTATGGACCCCCGATCACCCAGGGACCCCCAGAGCCCCCCATATCACCCAGGGACCACCCAAATCACCCAGGGACCCCCAAATCACCCAGAGCCCCCAGCCCGGAGGGACCCCTACGCTGCTCCAGCTCCTTTGGGATTCCTGCAGCCCCCAGCCGGGCCTGGGGGCACACACCCAAAATTAACCCACAGACCCCAAAATTAACCCACAGACCCCCAGAGCCCCCAAATCACCCAGGGACCCCCCAGAGCCCCCCCAGCCCGGAGGGACCCCACGCGCTGCTCCAGCTCTTTTTGGGATTCCTGCAGCCCCCCCAGCCGGGCCTGGGGGGCACACACCCCAAAATTAACCCACAGACCCCAAAATTAACCCACAGACCCCCAGAGCCCCCAAATCACCCAGGGACCCCAGAGCCCCCAGCCCGGAGGGACCCACGCGCTGCTCCAGCTCCTTTTGGGATTCCTGCAGCCCCCAGCCGGGCCTGGGGCACACACCCAAAATTACCATCCTAATTAACCCCCAGAGCCCCCCAAATCACCCAGGGACCCCAAAATCCCCCAAACCCCTCCAGGACTCTCCCAAACCCCCGAGGACCCCCAAATTCCCCACCTGCTTGTCCCGTTCCCCTCGGCCGCCTCCTGGACGAACCCCAATATCCCCCAGGGGACCCCAAAATCTCCCAAACCCCCCAACCCCCTCAGGGACTCCCCCAAACCCCTCAGGGACCCCCGACCCTCAGGGACCCCCAGACCCTCATGGACCCCCCAAATTCCCCACCTGCTTGTCCCGTTTCCCTCGGCCGCCTCCTGGATGTACCCCTGGGGACCCCCAAAATCCCCCAAACACCCCAAAGCCCCCAGGACTCTCCCAAACCCCTCAGGGACCCCCAGACCCCTGAGGGACCCCCAGACCCCTGAGGGATCCCCCACATTCCCCACCTGCTTGTCCTGCTTCCCTCGGCCGCCTCCTGGCGCGGACCCCTGGGGACCCCCAAAATCCCCCAAACTCCTCCAGGACTCTCCCCAAACCCCTCTGGGACCCCCAGACCCCCAAACCCCTCAGGGACCCCCAGACCCCTGAGGATCCCCAAATTCCCCACCTGCTTGTCCCGTTTCCCCTCGGCCGCCTCCTGGACGGACCCCTGGGAACCCCAAAATCCCCCAAAATCCCCCAAGCTCTCCAGGACTCTCCCAAACCCCTCTAGGACCCCCAGACCCCCAAACCCCTCAGGGACCCCCCAGACCCCCAAATTCCCCACCTGCTTGTCCTGTTTCCCTCGGCCGCCTCCTGGACAAACCCCACATCCCCCAGGGGACCCCAAAATCCCCCAAGCCCCCAACCCCTCAGGGACTCCCCAAACCCCTCAGGACCCCCAGACCCCCTCAGGGACCCCAGACCCTCAGGACCCCAAATTCCCCACCTGCTTGTCCCGTTTCCCCTCGGCCGCCTCCTGGATGTACCCCTGGGACCCCAAAATCCCCAAACACCCCCAAAGCCCCTCCAGGACTCTCCCAAACCCCCTCAGGGACCCCCAGACCCCTGAGGGACCCCAGACCCCTGAGGGATCCCCCAAATTCCCCACCTGCTTGTCCCGTTTCCCCTTGGCCGCCTCCTGGATGGACCCCCAATATTCCCCCAGGGGACCCCAAAATCCTCCCAAACACCTCCAAAACCCCTCAGGACTCTCCCAAAGCCCTCTGGGACCCCCAGACCCCCAGACTCCTCTGGGACCCCCCAAATTCCCCACCTGCTTGTCCCGTTTCCCCTCAGCCGCCTCCTGGATGGACCCCCTGGAACCCTCAGTATCCCCCCAGGGGACCCCCAAAATCCCCCAAAACCCCTCCAAGATCACTCAGGGACCCCCTCAGACCCCCCAAACCCCTCTGAGACCCCCAAACCCCCAAGGGACCCCCCAAATTCCCCACCTGCTTGTCCCGTCTCCCCTCGGCCGCTTCCTGGATCAGCCTCTGCCGGAGGGCGAAGCCCTCGCGCGCCAGGGCGGCCAAACGCTGCCTGGCCTCGCGCTCCCGCCGGCCACGCTCCCTGGGGACACCCCAAAATCACGGGGGGCACCCCAAAATATCAGGGACACCCCAAAATATCAGGGGGGGCACCCAGAGACACCCCCAGTGCATCCCAGTCACCCCAGTCTGTACCAGTCACCCCCAGTCTGTATCAGTCACCTCCAGTCAATCCCAGTCCCTCCCCAGCTCCCGCCGGCCCCGCTCCCTGAGACACCCCAAAATATCAGGGACACCCCAAAATATCAGGGGGAGCACCCAGAGACACCCCCAGTCTGTACCAGTGACCTCCAGTCAGTCCCAGTCACCCCCAGTTATCCCCAATCAATCCCAGTCCCTCCCCAGCTCCCGCCGGCCCCGCTCCCTGGGGGCACCCCAAAATATCAGGGACACCCCAAAATATCAGGGGGGGCACCCCAAAAATCAGGGACACCCCCCTCAGACACCCCCAGTCTGTACCAGTTACCACCAGTCACCTCCAGTTATCCCCAATCAATCCCAGTCCCTCCCCAGCTCCCGCCGGCCACGCTCCCTGGGGGCACCCCAAAATCAGGGAGGGCACCCCAAAATATAGGGGGGGCACCCAGAGACACCCCCAGTGTCCCCCCGTGCATCCCCAGTCTGTACCAGTTATCACCAGTCAGTCCCAGTCACCTCCCATCAATCTCAGTCACCCCCAGTCCATCCCAGTCCCTCCCCAGCTCCCGCCGGCCTCGCTCCCTGGGGGCACCCCAAAATATCAGGGGGCACCCCAGAGTATCAGGGACACCCCAGTGCCACCCAGTCCCCCAGTCACCTCCAATCAACCCCAGTTATCCCCAATCAACCCCAATCAATCCCAGTCCCTCCCCAGCTCCCGCCGGCCCCGCTCCCTGGGGACACCCCAAAATATCAGGGGGGGCACCCAGAGACACCCCCAGTCCATCCCAGTCACCCCCAGTCTGTAGCAGTTACCCCCAGTCACCTCCAGTTATCCCCAGTTATCCCCAGTCAGTCCCAGTCCCTCCCCAGCTCCCGCCGGCCTCGCTCCCTGGGGGGACCCCAAAATACAGGGGGAGCACCCAGAGACACCCCCAGTGCATCCCAGTCTGTACCAGTGACCCCTAGTCTGTACCAGTGACCCCCAGTCTGTACCAGTGACCCCCAGTCTGTACCAGTTACCCCCAGTCCATCCCAGTCACCCCCAATCAATCCCAGTCCCTCCCCAGCTCCAGTCAGCCCCGCTCCCTGGGGACACCCCAAAATCAGGGGGAGCACCCAGAGACACCCCCAGTGCCCCCCAGTGCATCCCAGTCCATCCCCAGTCTGTACCAGTTACCCCCAGTCTGTACCAGTCACCCCCAGCTATCCCCAATCAACCCCAGTCCCTCCCCAGCTCCCGCCGGCCACACTCCCTGGGGACACCCCAAAATATCAGGGGGGGCACCCCAAAATATCAGGGACACCCCCTCAGACACCCCCAGTCCATCCCAGTCCATCCCCAGTCCGATTGCCAGTTACCCCAGTCACCCCACTTATCCCCAGTCAGTCCCAGTCACCCCCAGTCCATCCCAGTCATTCCCAGCCTGTACCAGTTACCCCCAGTCAGTCCCAGTTACCCCCAGTCTTTCCCAGTCACCCCCAGTCCATCCCAGTCACCCCCAGTCAGTCCCAATTATCCCCAGTCTGTACCAGTCAGTCCCAGTTACTCCCAGTGCCCCCCAATCTCTCCCAGCAACCCCCAATCCCCTCCCAGTGCCTCCCAGTGCCCCAATCCCTCCCAGTGCCCCCAATCCTCCCAGTCCCTCCAGTGCCCCCAATCCCTCCCATTGCCCGTCCACTCCCAGTGCCAGTTCCCCAGTTCACCTGCAGGTGTTCTCACAGCCGGCCCTGTCCCACTGCGTCGGTGCCATCGCAGCAATCTGGGGGGCAGGCGGGGGAGCTCAAGACCTGGGGGACCCAACCACCCCCAGGGACCCCCAAATTCCCCCAAATCCCCCAGGGACCCCAAAACCACCCAGGGACCACCCAAATTCCCCCAAACCCCAGGGACCCCCAAATTCCCCCAAAAAATCCCCCAGGGACCCCCAAAACCCCCAGGAACCCCAAAGCCCCCAAGGGACCCCAAAACCCCAGGGACCCCCAAAACTCCCCCAGGGACCCCCAAAACTCCCCCAGGGACCCCAAGACCCCCCAGGGACCCCAAAGCCCCACCCCCCAGGGACCCCAAAACCCCCAGGGACCCCAAAACCCCCAGGGACCCCAAAACCCCCAGGCAACCCCAAAACCCCGAGGACCCCAAGCCCCCAAAACCCCCAAAACCCCCAGGGACCCCAAAACCCACCCAGGGACCCCCAAACCCCCAAAAACCCCCAAAACCCCCAGGCAACCCCAAAACCCCCAGGCAACCCCAAAACCCCAGGGGACCCCAAACCCCCAAGCCCCAAAACCCCCAGGGACCCCAAAACCCGCAGGGACCCCAAACCCCCAAAAACCCCCAAAACCCCCAGGCAACCCCAAAGCCCCCAGGACCCCAAAACCCCCAGGCAACCCCAAAACCCCAGGGACCCCAAAACCCCAGGGACCCCAAATTCCCCAAAACCCCCAAAAACCCCCAGGGACCCCAAAACCCACAGGGAACCCCCAAACCCCCAGGGACCCCAAAACCCCCAGGGACCCCCAAAACCCACAGGGACCCCCAAACCTCCTCCTGGGGACCTTCCCATCCCTCTAGAGGGGTCCCAGCAGACCCCCTGACCCCCAATGACCCCCTGACCCCAACAACCCCAGACCCCAGTGACCCCCCAGACCCCCAACGACCCCAATGACCCCAGGCCCCAGAGCCCCCAGAGCCCCCCAGACACCCCAGAAACTCCCCGGAAACCCCCTGCAAGCCTCTCAGGGCTCCCAAACCTCCCCTGGGGACCTTCCCGTCCTGCCTCTGGGGGTCCCCAGCGACCCCCAGACCCCCAGTGACCCCAGACCCCAAATGACCCCCAGACCCTCCAGAGCCCCCCCAGAGCCCCCAAGAACCCCTCAGGACCCCCAACTTCCCCCAAGCCTCTCCAGGACTCCCCCAAATCTCCTCCCAAGTCCCCCTGGGGACCTTCCCAGTCCTCTGGGGGTCCCAATCCTGACCCCCTGGAGCCCCAGACCCTCTCAGCAACCCCCAACTCCATTGACCCCACCCCTCCAACGACCCCAGACCCACCCAGAGCCCCCCCAAAACCCCCAGACCCCCAAAAACTCCCCAAAACCCCTCTGAAGCCTCTCAGGGCTCCCAAACCTCCCCTGGGGACCTTCCCGTCCCCTCTGGGGGATCCCAACTCCCCCAGACCCCCAATGACCCCCAGACCCCCAATGACCCCCAGACCCCCCAACGACCCCCAATGACCCCCAGTGACTCCCAGACCCCCCAGAGCCCCCCAGACACCCCAAAAACTCCCCAGCCTCTCCCCCGAATCCTCTCGTGGGCTCCCCAAACCTCCCCTGGGGACCTTCCGCATCCCCTCTGGGGGTCCCAACGACCCCCAGACCCCCAAAGACACCTCAGACCTCCCAGTGACCTCAGACCCCCCAAGACTCACAGACCCCTCAGGGACCCCCAGATCCCTCCAGGACCCCAAAACTCCTCAAACCCCCTCAAGCCTCTCAGTGCTCCCCAAACCTCCCCCTGGGGACCTTCCCATCCCCTCTGGGGGGTCCCAATCTCCTGAGCGACCCTCAACGACCCCCAGACCCACCAAATGCACCCCCAGACCCCCAACGACCCCAGACCCAACCAGAGCCCCCAAACCACCCCCAGACCCACTCACAGACACCCCGATTTCTCCCTCCAAGCCCCCCGGGAACCTTCCCGTCCCTCTGGGGAGTCCCAACGACCCCCAGACCCTCCCAAAAACCCCAGACCCTCAACGACCCCCAAACCTCCCCCTAACGAGCCCCAGACCCCCAGAGCCCCCCAAAGCCCCTCCCCAGAGCCCCCAGGACCGCCCCAGACCCACCACAGACACCCCAATTTCTCCCTTCAAGCCCCCTGGGGACCTTCCCGTCCCCTCTGGGAGGGTCCCAACGACCCCTGACCCCCAATGACCCCCAGACCCCCAATGACCCCTCAGACCCCCAACGACCTCAATGACCTCCAGACCCCCAGAGCCCCCCAGAGACCCAAAAACTCCCCAACCCCCCCCAAATCTCTCGGGGCTCCCCAAACCTCCCCTGGGGACCTTCCCATCCCCTCTGGGGAGGTCCCAACGATCTCCTGACCCCCAGTGACCCCCAGACCCCTCCAGTGACCCCAGACCCCCAACGACCCCCAATGACCCCCAGTGACCCCAGACCCCCCCAAGCCCCCTCAGACCCACCACAGACACCCCAATTCCTCCCTCCAAGCCCCCGGGGACCTTCCCGTCCCTCTGGGGGTCCCAACGACCCCCAGACCCCCCCAGTGACCCCCAGACCCCCAAATGACCCCCCAGACCCCCCAGAGCCTCCCAAAGCCCCTAAGCCTCCCAGACCCACCACAGACTCCGTCATTGGCGTGGGCAGCGGGATGGTGCGAGGTCGGTGCCCAGCGTTGGGGCAGTGGAAGCGCCCGTTGGGGCAGGCGGGGGTCCCTGGGAGGTCAGGGGGTCAAACACCCCTCAAGCGACCCCCAGAGGGCTAGGGAACAGATTGGGGACCCCCTCCCCCAAAATTCTGGGGGGCAGGAAGGTCCCTGGGGGAGATTTTGAGGTTTCGGGGTCCCTCGGGGAGGATTTTGGGGTCCCTGGGGAAGGAATTTGGAGGTTTTGGGGGTCCCTGGAGGGTTTTGGGGTCCCTGAGGGGGCAGGGGTGTCAAGCTACCCCTCAATCGACCCCCAGGGGGTTTGGGGACAGATTGGGGACCCCCTCCCAAAATTTGGAGGGGTAGGGAAGGTCCCTGGGGGAGATTTTGGAGGTTTCGGGGTCCCTCGGGAAGGATTTTGGGGTCCCTGGGGGAAGGAATTTGGAGGTTTTGGGGGTCCCTGAGGGTGGCAGGGGAGTCAAACACCCCTCAACGACCCCCAGGGGGGCTTGGGGACAGATTGGGGACCCCCCCCCCAAAATTTGGGGGGGTAGGAAGGTCCCTGGTGGGAGATTTTGGGTCCCTGGGGGGCATTTTGGAGGTTTTGGGGTCCCTGAGGGGCTTTGGAGGGAGGTTTTGGGGATTCCTAGGGGAGTTTTTGGGGTCCCTGGGGGCAGGGGTCAAACACCCCTCAACGACCCCCAGGGGGGTTTGGGGACCCCTATCCCAAAAATTTGGGGGCCAGGAAGGTCCCTGGGGGGAGATTTTGGAGGTTTTGGGGTCCCTCGGGGAGGATTTTGGGGTCCCTGGGGAGTTTTTGGGGGTCCCCGAGGGGGTTTGGGGGTCCCTGGAGGGGGCAGGGGGTCAAACACCCTCAACGACCCCCAGGGGGCTTGGGGACAGATTGAGGACCCCCTCAAAATTCTGGGGGTAGGAAGGTCCCTGGGGGAGATTTTGGAGGTTTCGGGGTCCCTGAGGGGCTTTAGGGGAGGTTTTGGGGGTCCCTGGGGGTTTTGGAGGCCCTGGGGGATCTGAGGGTCAAACACCCCTCACACCCCGGGCGGTTTGGGGACCCCTGCCCTAAAATTTGGGGGGGCAGGAAGGTCCCTGGGGAGGAATTGTGGGTCCCTAGGGGGATTTTAGAGCTTTTGGGGTCCCTGAGGGGCTTTGGGGGAGGTTTTGGGGATCCTCGGGGTTTTGGGGTCCCTGAGGGATTTTGGGGTCCCTGGGGAGCAGGGGTCAAACACCCTAACGACCCCAGGGGCTTGGAGACCCCTATCCCAAAATTTGGGAGGCAGGAAGGTCCTGGGGGATTTTGGAGGTTTTGGGCTGTCATGGGGAGGATTTTGGAGATTTTGGGGGTCCCTGGGGGGTTTTGGGGTCCCTGAGGGGGGTTTTGGGGGTGCCTGGGGGGAAAGAGGGTCAAACACCCTCAGTGACCCCAGGGGGTTTCTGGGGTCCCAGAGGGTTTGGAGGGGTCCCAGGGGTCGGGGGTCTCCCCAGGCTCGTCAGAGCCGTCCCCACAGTCCCTTTTGGGGTGTTTGGGGGTCTCTGAGGATCTCAGTGGGTTTGGGGTTTTGGGGGAGTTTGGGGGTCCCAGGGTTTGGGGTTTTGGGGAGGGGGTTGGGGGTCCCAGTGGGTTTGGGGGTCCCAGGGGTCTGGGGGTCTCCCCAGGCTCGTCAGAGCCGTCCCCACAGTCCCTTTTGGGGTCTCTGAGGATCTCAGTGGGTTTGGGGTGTCGGGGGTTTCTGGGGTCCCAGTGGGTTTTGGGGATCCCAGGGGTTTGGGATTTTGGGGGGTTCTGGGGTCCCAGAGGGTTTGGGGGTCCTGGGTGTTTGGGGGGTCCAGAGGTCGGGGTCTCCCAGGCTCGTCAGAGCCGTCCCCACAGTCCCTTTTGGGGTCTCTGGAGATCTCAGTGGGTTTGGGGTGTGGGGGTCTCTGGCATTCCTGGTGGGTTTGGGGTTTTGGGGGGTTTCTGGGGGTCCCTGGGGGTTTGGGGGTCCCAGGGTGTTCTGGGGGTCCCAGTGGGTTTGGGGGGTCCCAGGGGTCAGGGGTCTCCCCAGGCTCGTCAGAGCCGTCCCCACAGTCCCTTTGGAGTCTCTGAGGATCTCAGTGGGTTTGGGGTGTCGGGGGAGTTTTGGGGATCCCAGGGGGTTTGGGGTTTTGAGGGGTTTCTGGGGTCCCAGGAGGTTTTGGGGTCCCTGGGAGTCCGGGGTCTCACCAGGCTCAGCAGAGCCGTCCCCACAGTCGCAGTAGTCGTCGTTGACCCAGGAGAAGTCGATGGTGTTGGAGCCGTCGAGGAAGCGGAACGGCCTCGAGGGTCGTAGAACGGAGCCTCTGGGGGCACAGGGGTCTTTGAGGGGGCAA